GGGTTTAGGGTTCAGGCGTTTAGGATTTTAGGGCTTAGGGTTTAGGGTTTAGGGTATGATCCGTTATCCCTGTATAAGCCTTATATAACCCCTATAATATCCCTATATAACACCATTATAGTAGCTTCCATTTTCTTTTCCTTTATCTCCACAGCCAACACTATGATCAGAGCACGAAATTACCTTGGCATACCCTAGCCTTAGCTTTCTACACCTAAACCCTAAAAAGTAGTTTCCATTTATTTTCCATTATCCCTATATACCCCCAATATATACCCTACTATTATACCCCGGACTAGTAGTTTCCATTTTCTTTTCCAGTATCCCTACGCTTATCCAGCAGGCGGCATATGTGCAGCCCTTTACTTTGGGCGAAGCGCTATTGCCTACCATAAGCTCAATATCAATATTCTGTCTAGGCCGCAATTAATGCCCAAAACAATTTCAAATTACAAACAGGCTTCCAGATTCCAAATTTCCAGAATTCCAGATTTCCAGATTTGCAGATTGCGTAACTCTGGGAAGTTAGGGCCAGACAAATCTGGAAATCTGACATTCTGGAAGTCTGGAAGTCTGGAAATCTTAGGGCCTATATAGGAACTTGTGTTGTTTTTGCTTCAGAATGCGTTCCGATAACGTATCCACCCACCATATGCGCACCCACTTACTCATTCTGCGAATCTGCGAATCTGCGAAGCTGTGCTCCCGCGAAACCCAAATGAATTCTTTGATTATGGTATAACCCTAAACCCTTAAACCCTCAAACCCTAGAACCCCTAAACCCGTGGGGCTTCCATGTTAGGTTGCCTATGGGATAGCGTTGAAGACGCTCAGAGTTCTTTCACCAGCCCTCAGCCATCACCACTCTCCCATCTACTGTGGGGAAAGATGATAAGAAGCAGTACAAGCACAAACCTCAACTGCCGAAGATGTACATCAGTTTTTTTTTCTCGGGGGGAGGGGGAGGGGGGGGGGCGGGGGTGTGTACAATTATATTTATATATACATACATATACATCTCTCACTCTCTATCTCTCTCTCTCTGTGTCTGATTGGAAATGGATCTTTAGACATCTTATAAGAGTCAATACCAAACTTCTAACGCATAGGAGTTAAGGCGGTGTTTTACGAGCTGGATGCTCACCTGCGGTATTCGCTCAAAACCCGCATCCCAATCGAAACCTTAGATTAAAACATGCAAGAATTGGGTGGAAGTTCCCTAAACCTTAAACCCAAGCTCCTACAGCGACATGTCGAAGCCGCCAGTTGCCTTTTTGATGAGCGGCAGTACTTGGTGGAGCATGTTTTTTGAAAGTCGCCCATTGTTTGCTTGCGGAGCCATAGCAGGGAGATTGTTCAAAGAGCTTTGGGCACCCTAAACCTTACACGGGGCGTGCAGCCCTGGTGGGAGACTTTGGGATAGGTTCGGGATGTTTGGCCGAGGCTCATGGCCCTCAGAAGACACCTGTGACATGGTATGTCCCAAAATTGGGACCCCAAATATTATATTCCTTATCATGGGACCCCCAAAATGGCACCCCTCATTTTTGGGAAATCCCCACATGTTTCGTGGGCTATTTGGCCAACAACCTAGCCCGAAGTGGAGTCTAGGCGACTAATTGCTCATGTCGCATGGTACATGCCGGATGCGCGCTTCATGAGAACATCCTCATGTGCTTTACCAGGGCAGAAACAACTGGCCGTAAGACGTGCTGTGGAGCCTTGCGGACAGCATCTGAAGCGGGAAGACAATGAAGCTGAGTAGGTGAGCATCGAGCGTCGGGCTTTGGGATGGGTGCTGCTTCCCCCTCCGAGCTGGGGGAGCTTCATGTGAGCCATAGTCTAAACTGCTTAAAGGGGCTTATATAGGGGATTATATATAGGGGATTATATAGGGGACTACTATAGGGGT